TATATATATATATTCCTGACCAAAAGGTGGCGCTGTCTTTTCAGGAAATCACAGCTCATGGAAGTAACTCGAAGTAACCAAGTCTACCAAGCCATTTAAGGGCGTTTCTTCAACTAGGGGCACTTTTATCCTTGTGAAGTTGAATAAAAAAAACTTGTTCAAAACAGATACACAGTTAATATCTACACATAGATCAAATGTGTTAGATTTATGTAGCACAATGCCTAGACTCAAAAGTCAACAGAAGTACATGTCTAAAGACTGCGCTAGGTGGTGTTCAACACACAATTTATGATTATCAGGAGCCACATTCAGCTAGACCTGCAGTCAGGCTAAAGAGAGATATTTGTAGCACACACAAACAGTTCACTAGATGTCGCTGTCTCCAAACTGCTAGGACACTTTCAGAACACGTTATTTATTATACTGTTGGTTATGAGCAGATTTATATATATATATTCCTGACCAAAAGGTGGCGCTGTCTTTTCAGGAAATCACAGCTCATGGAAGTAACTCGAAGTAACCAAGTCTACCAAGCCATTTAAGGGCGTTTCTTCAACTGTAATATATTATAATATAAAAAGTATTACACAAATCTACTCTCGCAATCCATATCAATTGTACTTTGTAACCATAAATGTCATTTCCACCACATGCTGTCATTTCCACCACATGCTGTCATTGTGGAAATGACTGTGGTGGAAATGACATTTCTGTAGTTTTTTGTGAAAAAATGGAAGATAGCTTCACTGATTAGCTTTGAATTAATACTTAGCATTTCATGTATGCAAAATACTCTTATTTAACTTAAAATGTTTAGCTTTTTAAAAACACCCTTGAAGGTACAGCATGTTTGGAAATGACGTAGAATAAATATATTAACTGATCAAGCAATATTTACCTTGATTTTTCTTCATTTGATGTTGATAAAAAATTTAAATTCCCTCCATGTCCAACATGTGCTCTGATGTCACTGAACATTTCCATAGAAACCACCTAAACAATCTTTTACACAAACGTTTTAAAGGGACATTACAGTGCTGTGGTGGAAATGACACCAATACTGTGCGACAGCTATATTTTGTATATAAAGTAATATTGATCGTGGTCTCACAATAAATACTATTATGTATTTTAATTATTTTACTAGTGCTTAATTCAGGTACATTAATAGTTACCAGATAAGTCATATTTTTAAACTGTATTTTCATTGTTGAAGTTTAAAAGTCTGGGTGTGCGACAAGGAGAAAACAGTGATTTTGACACCTATAAGGAGGTTGAAAAGTATGAAAAAATCATAATAGAAAGGTAGTAAAAAGTTTTTAAGGTGGTTTTATTGTTAGTTTGACTAAGAAAGAGGAATTTGTCCAAAATTATATGTATTTTTATAAATATGACCAAAGAACCTAAAAGTGCCCATAGTCTAAGAATCACCCTTAAACAGATCACAGCAATGCTTCGGCCCAAACTAAGAACACACAAGGTGTTTTTCTGCTTATTAAAAACTGTTTTTTTTATTGATTTTGCTGTTTTTTTCCACACAAAAGGCCTGTTCACACCAAGAACTGTAACCATAAAATTGCTGACAATGACATGGAGAAAAAAATTACAAATAAAATGGTTCTGTTTACTTCCAAAGCAATTTTTTTTTCTCCAGATGATGAACAATAAAAACACTGACAGCCAATCAAAATCCATCTGACTTAATCACTGGTGGTTAAATCTATTTAAATATAAAATATGAAAGTGTGCACTAATACCAAAATAAAGAAAAAAATAAGATAAAAATAAACAGAACAGAACAGTAACTCCTTTACTTAAGGTGAAACCCTACATGATCTTTAAAAATATCATAAAATAGTGCTTCTTAGATTTAGCTGAAGGAAGAGAAATGAAAGACCAAAACCTAGATTCCCTTTCATGGGAACTTCGAACTGTGTCCTCTAGGGGTCGTTATGGGGGAACGCCTCGTCGTGACCCGTGTCTGAAGCATACATTGAAAAAACACCAACTCGTTGGCCGGCGACAGCCATGACGTCACTACCGGTGCGACTATAGTATAAATAGGTGCTGGGAGCTACACATCATTCTCTTCTTCGTCTTCATTGACTGTTTTGTTTGAAGCGTGCATTTCTGTGGTAAGAGCGATCTCTATTTATCTCATTATGGCGAGCACTAGCAAAGCATTTAAGGATGTGTGCATCCATGTTGACGTTGTTTAACATCTGATGACACACACGATCTATGTGTTGTTTTGTTTGGGCAAAGAGCACGCACGCGATGTCTCCGAAGGGGCAATCGGCGTGCTCTGCGAGCGTTTTTTCCAAGGAAAAAAGCTCAGCTCTCGTTTGTCTCTCTTTTCGAGGAGGGGTTACGCTTTCATGCTACCCTGACTGGTCTACCGTATCTGGGTCGCCCTGAGGGGTTTCCCGATCACCAGGATATCCCCTCTTGCTGAGGCATCGAGCGGGAGGCATAGGTGGCATTACGAGAACCTTCCTGTGTAAATGCTGTCTCGGGCAGTGCTCCCCTCACCTTTGAGGGTTGTATTTGAGCTTGCCTCTCCCGTTTGGCCCAGTACTTCCGGGTATCTGTAAAGAGATGCTTGTAAAACTCTAAAATAAGTGCAGCACGTTGAGCTTTACGCACTTTTCTACAAATCCACATAAGTGGTAAGTGTGCACGTTATGCTTTGCCCACTTTTCTAAAATCCTGTATGGTAGGGGTTACGCGTTTTTGATCTCGTTCCCTTTTTCTGAATTGGTTAGACCCTGTTTCCTTGGGCTCCACTCAACTAGTGTGTCTCTATCGGCACACTCTGGAAGCATCGCTCCCCTCACCAGTGAGGGTTATTATGAGT